CCTCCTGAGCCCCCCGCGCCGCAGAGCAGGGGCTGAACCGGAGGAGCGGAGCTGGGACAACTGCGCTGAGGCATCTCCGCAGGGATTCACAGCCTGGCCTTCCTCGGGGCTGGAGCGGACAGCTGGCACCATCCTACTGGAAGTCCCCTGGCTGCTGGCCCTGGCCAGTCCCCAGCCGTTCACCCACTTGCCCCCAGCCCTCCTACCTGCTGTGCACGAGTTGGTCCAGAGTTGCCAGCCAGCTGCACCTTCTGCTCCTTCCCATTTATTAATACCTGCCCGTGATCTTTGAGACACGGCTCCCTGCCTCCTGCCCTCCCTCCTGCCCCTCCAAGGAGCTGCTCACTTCCCAGCCTGGCTGCTGCCCGGTGCCTGCCATGCTGCCTGGTGCCCAGTCGTGCCGGGTGCCACGGCTGTGGCAGCCTCAGGACTATCACCACTATCCCCAGGGCCATCCCATCCTGGGGTCTGTCCTGGCCAGTCTCAGCTCCTGGACCGCAGCTGTGCCCATGGTGCTGCTGTGCCCCACCAGCCGTGCTGGGCACAAGGCAGGAGTCTTCTTGCTGCTGGGCACATCCTGGTTGCCCATCCCCTGCCAGGAGCTGCTGGGCTCTCACCTCCCTAGGGCACTGTTCAGGGTCCTACCATCACCCTCCTGTGCCTGCAAGGCTCCTGTGTGTGTCCGTTCCCACCACTACCACCACCACCAAGGCATCCTAGAGCAGGACCTGTGCCTGGGGCAAGGGAAGTTACCCGCAGCCTCCAACGATGGCATCTGGATTACTTTCCACAGGATCCCGCTCCTGCTTACCTGCTGGGAGCTGGTGTGCTGTGCCCTGTGGACTGCTCCGGTCTCCCACAGCACGCGCAGACCCAGCCGTTATCTTGTTCCAAAGGTCCCCAGCAGGCACCGGGGCCCCACATCACACCTTCCTGGACTCCACCATGACCTAGTACCACCATTGGTTTCGGAGCATTTCTGAGTCACGTTTGGCCCCAGGCCCACGAGGACACAGCCGTGGAAATCCGGGAACCCATGGGCTGGCCTGACTGGTGTCAGGGCATGGGGTGACGCCAGCGGGCAGGGCAGGATGGGCAGAGCAGGGCACGTGCCAAGGAGTTCCAGGTGCCCTTGGTGGTGGGATGGGGCTGGCAAGTGTCACAAGGGGTGACACTCAGGACTGTGCTCTCCAGAGTCAGAGCAACTCGTCCCCATTCCCACTGGCTGTGTGTGGGCCAACCCATGGCCACCTTGGCTGTCCCCATGGTTGCATGACCCGTGTCCCACAGCAGCCACATGCAGACTCCTTGGCTGCATTTCAGCAGTGGGGCTGAGCCTGCCACTGTCAGCCTCTGCCACATCCCCAGCCCCACACCGTGCCGATCCCAAGCCCAGCAGTCCCACCATGACCAGGTAGCCACATGCCAATCCCAACACTTGTGCCCACATACAGCCTCCCCACGATTTATCTGCTTCTGGCACAGAAGCAGAGGCCATCTCAGAGTTCCTACTTGGTAGCAACTGATAACACCTGTTGCCATTTACAGCCTCCTTATTGACCTTCCTGGTCCCCACCCTGCACCACTGCTTCCTGCACCCCAACCGTGGCCTCCCACAGCTCCCTGGGCTGACTGCTCTCCCTGGCTCCCCAGCCAGCCTCGGGAAGGACATAACTGCAGCTCCTGGTGCTCCCAGGGGGCTGACATGACCCCCCATTGCTTAGAGAGGTACGGGATCAAGGGGATGGTTGATGGCCCCCCCTTGCTCAGCGTGCCTGGGATCAATACTGCTCTTTGCTCACCTGCTCTTTCTCCTCCAACAGCAAGGAAGGGAGGCATAGAGAGCACTAGGATCATGCTCTTCTCCCTCACGCTCCCCTCTCCTTCCCCACAGCCTGGATGGGTCACGCTGCCTTCAGATGGTGGATTTTCTTCCCTTGGCCTCGCTCAGGCTGCTGGCCATGGGTGCCAGCTGCTGCCACTGCAGACCTGCCAGCCAGGGCTGGGGCCACCAGGCACCACCACAGCCAACCTCATCTCTGGGTAAACTGGCCTAAACATAGCCAAGCTCAAGCAACTGGCAGCACCTGAAGTGCCTGTTACCTGAAGCCACCTCTCCCTGGACCACAGGGACTGCCCTTCATTGCAGGAGCAGGGTGTGAGCTCCTGCCCCAGCCCCCTCCCAGCATGGCCCCAAGCCCAGCGCTGCACCTGCACCTCTCACCATAGACATGTACCTCAAGCCCTGGGCAAAGGGAAACAGCAGAGGCAAAGCACCATTTTATAGACTTTTATTTCCAAATCTGGCGCTTCCATGATACACTTTTACACAGCCAGGGGGGAAGCGTGGGCATCTCCCTGTGCCCTGCCCACAGCATTGGGAGATGGAGTGAGGAAAAAAATACAACCAACCAAATCCCCCAAAGAAACAAACCCAACCCAAAGAGGATGCTCCCCAGAGCCCAGGCCACAGCACTACAATCAGGGACCAAGCTGCAGACTGACTCCTGCTTCTTGACCAGCCCAGCTCTGTGGGGAGAACCACTGGCTCTGCTGCTCTTTTCTTTTTTGGCACTTGTCACTTGCTCTCCATTTGGCATCAGCACAAAGAGCCCCATGCCCAACTTGGCAGAAATATGGGCACTACAGCACAGCAGGGACAGAATCCCAGGACTCTGGTGCTGGTGCTGCACAGCTGGAGAGAAACATGTAAACGAGCCTGTTCCTGAAGGCAAAGACAGGCAGCATGGAGAGGCCTGGCTGCTCCCAGCACATGGGGCCAGCAGGCTTTCCCTCTGCATGGTATGTAAACATCTCAGCAGGCCTTTCCCTCCCCATTCCTGGGAAGACAGCAGTGAGCCTGCCTCATCAGGGCTGTGCCAGGGGCAGGCAGCCCCCACCAGGCCCACAGCATCCCCATCACCTCAGCCCTTCTGCTCCCTCCACGCTCTCCCCACTGACTCAGGGATGCGGCCAAGAGGCCTTGGCCTCCCTAGGGGCCCAGAGGACAGCAGAGCCCTCTCAAGTAAACATGCCAGGCTGAGCTGCAGCAAGAGGCTAGGGCAGTGTGGCAGTAAGGCAGGAAGGAGCGTGCTGTCACGCAGCCCCAAAAGCACCACGGGGGAAGCTGAGCAGAGGCACCAGGCTGGGCAGGTGAAAGGGAGCGTGCCGGCCCCCCAAGCCGGCTGTCCCTGGCCCCAGGCTGGGGTAGGCACAGAGGAATGTCACCTCTCTGCAGGGACAGTGGGAGCCCAGGGCCAGGCCCCAGGCCAAGCTAAGAAATCAACAGGCCTGAATTTCCAGAGAGGGCCAAGTGCTGTTTACCTCCATGTCTCAAAATCTAGGCCACTCTGAGCTGGGCTCCTCTGCCAGACAGAGAGCACGGGGATGTGGGCGTACGTAGGCAGAGCCTGCAGGGAACCAGCCAGATACAACTTCTGTCCGCAATGCTGGACCCCAAGACTAGAGCCACATCATCTTCCTGCAGACATTAATCCTCTGCAGGTTGAGCAATGGCTCTGAGAACAGCCCAGCCAGCTGCGGAGGGTCATCCAACACCTTGCCCAGAGCCACAAACCAACAGAGGTTTGCTCTACAACAGGCAGGTTAAAGAGCACAACACAGAGTGGGTAACAGCACAGTGCTCATTTGGTGAGAGGAGAAAACCAGTACTTGTAGGAGCAGGACAGCACTGAACAGCAAAGCTTGTTTCCTCCCATAGCCAGTCCCTACTGCCAAATTTACTGCCCCACTTGCTTGTGCTCCCACTGGCACATATCCCCAGCTCCTGGATGGGGACAGCCCCATGGTGGGGCCATGGAGGGGAGAGGGAGACCTGGCTGAGGGACACCAGGCAGGAGGATGACACTGAGACTCATGTGGAGCTGCACGGTGGGAGGGTGAGAGGGGCAGCAGGGCCAGCTGCTCCACAGTGGGATGGAATGAAGCAGTGCTGGCAAAGCCATAAGGGCTGCCTGGCACTGTCTCTCCAGTCCACTGGGATTGCAGTCCCTGCTACCCCCAGGGAAGCTGGCAAGGGGCTGTTGATGAAACAAATGCTCCAGGTCCTGGGAATAGACCATCCGTAAAAATAACCATAGAAATTTCTCTTTTCTCTGATTACAAAGATACAAAAAGGTAGAAAACCCTCCCCTACCCCCACGTCCTGGGCTCTGTTTCCATCCCCCTGCCCATGCACACACACGCACACTCTGCGTTCCAATGGGTTGCAGAGGAAGAGCTCGGCCCCAGGGGTCAGAGACCCAACCCTCACTCAGCAGTACCTGTCACACCGGGCAGGTGACGGGGTCACGGTGGCAGCCGAGAGCCTGGAGGCTCCTGGCAGATGGGTGGTGTGGGCTGCTGGCCCCTCAGCCTGGAGGGCAGGGGAAGGCAGGGGCAGTTTTGGGCCTCTGACCACCATCAGTTCTGGCCTCTGCCCCCTGGGGACACCAAACCTCAGCTAGTAGTGCCTGGTAAGGTGAAGGGCCTTGCTTCTTCTGTCTCTCTTGTGGACAGCTTCAGCCCCTCAGGAATGGCCCTCGTTTCTTGTTATTCTTCTCGGAGGAAAGAAAAACAGTGTTAAGCTGTGGCATCTCCCCTGGGCCCCAGCTGCCTCCCTCAGCTATGCCAGATGGGGACAGGGCAGAAACCCACTGTGTCAGGACAGGAACAACTGTCTTCAGGAAACAGGAAAGATGGGATGGGATGGCAGAAGTATGAGCAACAAGCAGAGCTGGAGGGGTAGAAATGGCAGATTGAGACAGGGTCCCTGGGGAGAAACCTGACTGAGGCAGGCAGGGATCCTGTAGGATTTGGGCCTGCCTGGCCCTCACACACCACTGCTCATTGGGACCTACAGGCAGCACCAAGCAAGGGGGATAGCCATGAGGTCAGCCTGGCTGCACAAAGCATCTTCCCTGAGCCTCCCCAGGCCCCCACTTCTGGCAGAGGAGGCAGACTCAGACACCACGATGTTTAGGCTCTTGTAGCACTGTAAGTGCTGAAGCTGTCACACAGGAGGGTTCTCTGTCTGGTCACTATTCAGGACCAGGAGCCACCTGCCACTCATCCCAGGGGCTCACCCTTGCACAGCCCTCTCCCCCCCAAACCAAACTCCCTTGGGAGAGAAGCCAGGCAGCTGGACAATGCACAAGACCAGCTGAACAAGGCCTGAGGAAGGGGATACACTTACTCTGAGTCTGGTGACAGCTCCGAAATGCTGTGGGAGGTGGTGGAGCAAGGTGTTGAGGGGCACATTGCGGAGGGCGTTGAGGTCTGCATGGCAGAAGGGGTGGCAGTGGTCTGGGGGCCTGAAGGCGTGCTGGAGGATTGCACCGAGGACAGGACAGAGGAGTTAAAAGAAGCAAGAATGGAAGAAAGGATATCTAACTGTTCAGTGGAAGGATGTCGGCTGGGAACGGCCTCCAGGTTCTCTCTAGAAGGCTGTCTCCTGGACAGTGGCTCTAGGCTTTCCCTAGACAGCTGCCTCCTAGAGAGGCTCCCCAGGTTGTCCCGCGAGGGATGCCTGCTAGGCACTGTGTCCAGAGGCTCTCTGGAATTAGATCTTCTGGAAAGAAAGTCCAGCTGCTCCCTTGAAGTTTGTCTAGCTGATGCTAGCTGGTCCCTTGAAGGCTGTCTTCTAGAAAGCAAATCCAATTGTTCTCGAGAAGTATCCCGACTTGGCAACATGTCTATTCGGTCTCTGGACACTTGCCTACTTGGCAATGTGTTTAGCCACTCTCTAGAGACCTCTCTTACTGGCCCACAGTCTAGCTGCTCTCTTGACCCAAATCTGCAGGGTAAAGTGTCAAGGTGGTCCCTGGAGCCCTGCCTCCGTGGCAGCGTGTTCCCATGATCTCTCTGACTGGGCCTAGCAGCAAGTAGATCCAGGTTTTCCCTAGACCCGTGTCTGCTTGGGATACTTTCCAGGTGTTCAGAAGACCCATGCCTACTGGGAATAGTGTCCAGTTCCTCCCTGGACCCGTGTCGGCTGGGCACAGCTTCCAAGCACTCTCCTGAGTTGTGTCTGCTCAGCTGCTCCCGGGACATCTGTCTCCTCATCAGCATGTCAAGCTGCTCCCGTGACGAGTACCGGCTGGCTGGCTGTGACAGACTGCCTGCCCCAGAGTAGATCCTGCCGTAGGAAGCAGCAGGGACAGCCCTGTGACCCAGTGTAGAGGTCTTGTACCATGTCAGCTCGTTGGTCATCCTGCCAACGGATGGCAGGCCTTGGAGAGTAGCAGGGTATTGAAGGCGGTTCTTCAAAATCCCTACACCAGACAGAAAGAGAAGTCAAATCTCTGTCTAACAGTGAAAAGAGCACAAAAGCTGGGGGGGGAAAACCATACCTCCCCAAGGACATGACAAGATGGATCTGATGCTGAGCCTTTTCAGGGTCTAGTCAACCTTAGACAGGCAAGACCACCCTCGCCTGCTGGCTCCAGATCGTTACCTTTTCTTTGCCGTTGGGTCTGGGTGAGGGAGTTCTCATCCCCACTGGTCAAGGCCAGGTCTGGCTGATTATTGTTGGCTGCGTCCTTGTTGATGTCAAATCCCAGCTTCCTCTCAGAGCCCCACTTCTGCAGGGAGCAGGGGTGAACCTCACACTCGCCCAGAGCCGGCCAGTACGACATGAGGTCATTGCCATCCACATCTGGTGAAGGACACAGCAACCCAGGGGAAGAGGAAGAGAATACTTCTGTGAGAGGCAAACGAAGCCATGGCAAGACACGTCCTGGCCCCCAGGGACCCGAGCTCACCCTCTCCCCCTGCCAGAGCTGCCAGGACTTGCCTTTGGGAGCAGTGTTGGTGGGGTTGGTGAGGAGGCGCTCGCTGTGTGCCGCCCGCTTGAACGGGCGCTGGAAGCGGCCCCGCAGGCGCACGTTCTCCTCGCTCTCTGAGGACGGGATAGAGAGGCTGCGTTCCTCGTCCAGAGACAGGTCACTGTCTGAGTCAGAGTCCTGGTCTGTAGGGACATGGCGTGTGTTGAGGAGATATTTGGAATGAAGGTGGAAGAAGGTCCCTGGCTCCTACTGCTGCCAGGAAGGCAGAATCAGCCCAGGAGTGACCACTCTCATGAGGACAACAGCCTGCCTTGCTGCCCTTCCCTTGGCAGAAGCCCATGCCTGCTCCCTCTGCCCTTTCACCAGGCACCCATGAGAGAACCCTGGCTCTGTCCTGCTGCACTTCCCCATAAGGTAGTTGCAAACAGCCATAAGATCTTGTCTGCCTCCTCTTCTTCCAGGCAGAGTAAACGCACCTCCCTCAGCCTTTGATTTCCTGTCCCACTCCCCAGCCCTGAGGGTGGCCCCTGCCAGTCTCATTCTAGTGGGTTAGTGCCTGTGCTGTACTGGGGAGCCCAGTGTCACCAGGGAGCCCATGACAGTCTATGCCCTGCTTTGGCCTCCTCCTTTTACAGCTCCTTGGGGACTGGCTGTGCCCTTTGCCATCTGTCCAGGAGGAGACTGTGCTAAGCAACACATCTGCTGCCTCTCCCTCGTACCCATGGCATGTCTGGGAGTCACAGCTGAACATGGGGTGGAGGATCTAATCATGCAGCCAAAGCCTGCACTGGAAAGGATTTCCTTAAGCCAGGAGCTCCTTTGGGATGCGCGGGGTCAGCCCCAAACCTGGCTCCAGGGCCGAGCCCTACCTCCCCCAGCGTCGCGGTGGAACATGGCCACGTCGATGTCGGTGGGGCCAGCGTGGGCCAGCAGGCTGTGATCCAGGGCCGAGCCCTGACGTGCTGCCCCGTTGTCTCTGAAAGACAGGAGGCCCGGGCGGTCAGAGGGGCGGGAGCGGCCGGCGCTGCCCGGCAGCCCCGCGGCCGGTGCCACTCCCCACCTGAGGTAGGCGCGCTGGCTGGAGTGGGTGCGGGCGGAGCGCACGCTGCTCACCGACGAGATGGTGGAGGCCCCCAGGGTGATGCGGATGAGCCCGCTCTCCTCGAACAGGGCTGTGTTGTTGTAGGCGCTGGGGCCCTGGTGAGGCAGGGACAGAGGGCACGTGCCCTGTTAGGGAGATGCCTTCCCACCCAAGTGTCCTCAGGGAAGCTGGGGCGTCCCTGCCAGCTCCTGTCCCAGGCAGGCAGCCTGTGCCCAGCCCCCTGGTCTGCTCCTCTTCTTGCCCACCTGTGTGTTCCTTGTGGTCTCCTCACTCTGCCCCTTCTTGCCAAGGCAGGCCAACTTCCAGGCTTCCTGCACCTCCTCGTTCAGCACACAGAACAGGACCAGCACAGCCAGGCCCTGTGGGGAGAGATGCCATCAGAGACAGCCCCTTGCTGCCAGCCAACCTGCTCCCCTGCAGCCCCAGCACTGGGACAGTCCGTGGCTCCTACAGAGCCCAGTGTGTCAGCCCTGGTGGCCAACAAGACTGGGATGCACTAAAGAGCTTCCCAACACTGATTGGTGCTAACCCCATGGTGACCATGGGTGAGGGAGGAAAGGGTGGTGAGGTGTTGTCCTGGCTGGCAGTGGACAAGGAGCAGCTGGGAGGGTTCCCTGCAGTAACACCAGCCATGGTGGTGGCAGGTCTGTGGGGTGCTGCCGTAGGTCATATTTGGGGTGTCAGACATCTCTGTTGCAGGCTGCTCTCTTGCTCTGCCCCCTGAGAGCATGGAGGCCTGATCCCTCCAAAGACAGCCCTTGCTGCCCTTTAGATGTCACCTCTGAAGCGAGTGCCTTGCAGCCACCTCCTGCCCCATGCCACCACTCACTGTGGGCATGGCAGGGAGGACTGGCAGGAGCGACAGCAGAAGGAACAAGGATCCCAGCAGAACACTGGGGGCTCAGCACAGGGCTCCTGCTCTTCAGAGATGGCTGTGGGGACCACAAGGATGATCTCCTGGGCTGACCCATGCCGAACTCTGGCAGAGGCCGGGCAGTTACCTGGAGGCTGCAGAGGACAGTGTAGAGGTAGTGGAAAGCCAGGACACTGTTGTTGACAGCCAAGAGGCCAAAGAGCCAGGTAGTGCTAATAACTAGAAGCAGAACAAAGGAGCTCCGTAACGTCATGCTGGAGAGAGAGAGACAGACAGACAGGCACACAGACACCAAGAGGTTAGTGCATATTGTTAATCTACAGCTTGGTGCTCACAGACAGATATCCAGAGGGGAAAGTGTGCTCCTGCCCAGTGCTGCAGGCACAGCCCCGCACAGCAGTGCAGCTCCCCCGACTCCCAGGCCTTCCCTTCTGGATCACACATGGCAAACACAGTGGCCCAAATGACACAGGTCATTTGGAGTCACAGAGAGCTGAGCCAAGCTCCAGACCTGGCCCAGGAGGGAGTGGGGAAAGGTCTCAGAAGGAGCATGGAGGAGAAGAAGCAGCAGGTGCTGAGAGTCAACAAGGGCAGAGCATTGAATCCATGGGGTTGGATTCTCTCCACCCATGACATGACGGGTGGCTGTGAGGGCAGGTGGTGATGGGGGACAGGATAGTGGGACAGTGTGAGATGGGGATGTAGGAACAAGAGGAAAGGACGAAGTTTAGAAAGGGTTAATGTGACTGGCAGGTTTGGGAGAGGAGAGCAGCTGCAAGGCTGACACTGATGCAGAGGGGCACTCTTCGATGGTGGAAGGAGGATGGTCACTGAAAATGCTAAAAACCGTAAGCCACAGGAGCTCTGCTGGGAGCTTGGCCACTAATACTCACAGAACCGACTTCTTCTTGGTCTCCTTTTGGCCTGGGGAACAGGACATCTTGGCTACAAGCAGGAACATGACCCCATTCATCTGTAAGCATTGGCACTGATTAGAAGCTGTGCTAAGGGCTGGCTCTGACCTGACAACCCCAGCACACAGCGTGGGCAGACCTCAGGTCTGCCAGGCCCATGCCAATGTCCCTTCCCTTCCCCTCAGGCCCAAGCCATGGCCTCCTCCAGGTTTGGCTGGAGCAAGGAGGGACAGAGAGAGTGTCTCTAACTGAGGAAGGGGGATACAGAGAAGGGAGCAGGCAGTGGGCAGTCGAGGAAGGGACAAGTGCCCATGGTGCAGAAAAGGGAGGTGGGAGAGGGCTGTGGGTGAAACAGGACAGGGTTTTACCACAATGACGACAGTAATGGGGCCTGCAAAGCTCCAGACCAGCTTATCATGAATGGAAATCCAGCAGAAGTCAGGGTTCCCGTAGCCCTCAGGATCCAGGCCAACTGCCAGCCCTGCAGGATGAAGGGAGAGGTCAGGTCCAGACCCAGCAGCCTTGAACTTTTCCCATCACTAAAGGACATGAGAGGGCTCTCTCCTTGCTCCTTGCCCTGTGCACAGGCTTCCCTGACACAGGGGAAAGAGCCAGGACTACAAGCCCCAGCATTAGGGCCTTTATTTCCCTTTCTTCAGGCTCCCTGAGACAGCCCAGCCTAGCAGGCATTCACTACAGTAACAGGTCACCCAAGGATGAAGGCTTGGGAAAGCAGGAGACCTTTAACCACAAGCCCTGGGACAGCAGGAGCCACGTGCCCACAGAACAAGCCATGGGGAGACACACTGAGGAATTACTTCTCCCCAGGATGACAGCCTTGGATATATGGTCCCAGCTGTGACCACCACAGCACTGCTGGCTGTGCCAAGCCCACCCTCAGCCCTCCCCACTGAGTAAAGTGAGCTGGGCAACACCAGGGGATCAGGAGGCTGCTGAGAACCAGTGCTTCAGGCATGGCTGTAGGACCAGCAGCCCTCACCAGTGATGATGGCAGGCACTCCCCAGCCAATGGCATAGTAGAAACGCATGGCCCCCACGTTGACGTTGCGGGCTTCGGTCTGCATGCGGTAGATGTGGAGGCCCTGGACAAAGAACCAGGCGAAGGTGGAGAGGAAGAAGCAGTGGAGGAGGATGGCAATCACAGTGCAAAGAAACTGGGGAGACAAAAGCCACTCAGAGATGGTCCCACTGTGCCAAAGCTAACCACATCATCCATACTGTGCCCCCACCCTCACCAACGTGCTTGTTCAAGCCCACAGACCTGGTTCTCAGTATGGTTGATGCCCAGGAGAAAGAGCAGCTCAGAAAAGAACAGGGTGACTGATATGTTGGAGTGGATGCCACGTGTGTTGGACTTGAGGCCTTTGAGGCAGGTCAGGAAGGAGAAGGTCAGCAGCAGAGCCACCAAGGAGACAGACACCAAGGAATAGGTGACAACTGCCAAGGTCTCCAGGTCACCTTCCAGTTGCTGCAGCAGAGAACCAAAAGCAAATGGCCATGTTAGGGGGAGATACGGGAAGCCTGCTGAGTTCCCAAACTTGTGTCCCAACAAGGTATGTTCTGCTTATTCTGGGACACAGTGACACCACTGCCCACAACCCTGCAGGCCAAGATTACCTCTCGGTGGGAGCTGTCCATCAGTACCCCAAAGGTGCCGAACTGGGAGCACTGGCAGTGGACATGTGTGGTGTTTCGGTACACGAGCTCACAGTCCCTGGCTGTCCAGAAGCCGGAGGGGTTGGTCCTGCAGCCACCAAAAAGCAGAGTGCACTTAGGAGAGAAGACAGATGTGTGGTGTGTGGGGAAGGAACTGCAAAGAAGAGGGGTGATGGGCAAGGCTTTTCTGCCAGCAGTTACAACTGCACTCCTACCGCTGAAGTAC